TGATACTTTGAATATTACATGTTAATAACTTGATTGGAATTATAACCTTGAATTGACAGTTTGATACTTTGAAAATTTTGAGCCAGCCCTACCCCCAAGGGCTGTAGGTGCTAGTTTCAAATCCTTTTTAGTCTGAAATCTGTATGCTAGATATTGAGTAAGGTGGTTTTATTGTTTTTTGTCACTTTGAATAATATTTCTGTTCATGTTAAAAACAAAATCAACTCTCTGTATAAATATATCAGGTGACCGTTAAGGCCCATGGGCCTCTTGTTTTATAAGCTTGTCAAAATTTGTAATGATATGGACACTGTCCTTCTGTCAACACTTTGGTTTCTGCGAGATAACTTGCTTAAATATCATTCAATTTCTTAAAAAATTGATTTGCATGTATGTATACAAAAACAGAGGCTAAGTTCAAAGTTGAGCAAAATGTGCGCATAATTGATTAGCATACTGTGTTCTGATAGGTCAATTTCCAAACTAAAGTTTCCGAAAGGTAACTTGCTCAAATATTAATCTATTATGATGAAAATTGGTATGCATATACATTTTACATAGACTGAGGCTAAGTTTGATGTTAAGCAAAATCTTTGCATAATTAAATAGCAAACTGTGCTCTGATTGGTGGACAGTTTCTCCACAATTACTTTGTCAAATTTGATCAGATACTGATGAAACTATGTCATTATTTATATTATACAATGGCAAAGGCTAAGCTAAAAGGTGAGCAAAACTTGTGTAAAAGTTTTTAGCATACTGCTATGTGATGGTTTCTGCACAATTAGTCAGATATGACAGGATTCTGATAGTCAATATTTTCACCATGTTAAACAGTGAAATCTGCCAGTAATCAATAAGAAATATCTTTGATTTTAATGGCATCAGATGGAGATAATATTGGGGCAATACTATGTACAAAAGGAGGCAATAACATGTACAAAGGGAGGCAATAATATGTACAAAGGGAGGCAATAATATGTACAAAGGGAGGCAATAATATGTTCAAAGGGAGGCAATTGCAAATAATGTTAAAGGTCATAATTTAAAGGATAAACGAAATATATAAATTCCTTTAGTTGGTCAAGTACAGTATGTTTCCTTTTTACATTTATATATTTTGCATACTTTTAGATACAATTATGCATCAGAAGGATTTCAAATATGTCAGAACGGTAGGGGATGGGTGTATAAAATTAATGTTCTGCTGTCCGTTACTCTCGTCTTCACACTGACGTTTATATAAGTTTACCAAAGTCAAACTGATTTTTTTTAACCTTTTTGGTATGTAAAACAATCACAAGTATGGGGATTTAGAATAATAGCAAGAACAACTGAAGAACACTAAAGATTTGCCGAAAAGTAGCTTCAGAATCTTTGCATTGAAAAAATAATGAACTATGAATATGGCTAATAGGCAATCTAGAGTTGAGGATACTGTACTGGCTTTTATAGCCTTTAAAAAGGATACAAAAAAATCATTTTAAATGAAATAAAAGAAAATTTTCACATATTTCTTTTCCTTTTTCCAGGTTTTATGTGAATTTCACAGACCTTAAAAGGACGGATGTTGCAATTGATGGTAAAACATTTGCCACTTGATGGTGTAAGGAGTTATCTCCCTACATATATATATGTTTTAAGACCATTTTAGCTTGAGCAACCTACAAAACATGTATCAGTGGTTGTGTTGTGAGCACTCCTGTAAGCATGCGGGATGTGGAATGAGCTGAACACTTTTGTGTGATAAAATAATATGTACCTTTCTGTTTGTTCAGACCAAATGCTATTTTATATGCATTGTAAATACTCAAAAAGGTTTCCATTACTTATTGGACAATTTCAATTTGACATTAAGACCCCATGCACGCTGCCATCTGAGCCCACAAGAGTGATTTATGTAATTGGATAAACATGATTCATAATTGTTGTAAAATAATTAAAGTTTTAAAGAAACTTGCATTTGACACCTGCCAACCTTCACAGTCACATGTATATTCCTGCTTGAAATAATTTGCCTTTGGTGGTCATATTCATGCTTTTTAAATGAATAAAGCTTTGAAAATCACATCTATTTCCTATTTTCTATTGATGTAAATAAGCAAAAACTAATTACAACTTGATAGGAAACTATTGTTTAAAAGTTATTGGAGCAAAATCTTAATTTTCTATGTTGAGCGTTCGCCCAGGTGAGGAGGGCAATGGGTTCTGTCCTCAGGCCAGGACATACCAAAGTCCTTAAAAATGGTAGTTGTTATTCCCTGCTTAACGTTCAGCATTAAGGGAAATGGCAACAATTGGTTCACCCATTGTCAGTATAATGTGACCTGGCGGAATGCTGTGTTGGGTGCCTTCAGCATGTCATTTCAGTGAGATTGCACTATAAAGTTGGCATCAGATCCGCGCTATCACAAGGAGGCAATAACACCAACACACCCTGTCTCCTGCATATACACACGTAAGCTAGCATACACTACACACATGGAGGCACGTCCTTAAATGACCTTAGCTGTTAATAGGGTGTTAAAAAAATAAACCAAACCAAACCAAGCTTCTCTTAAAGAGAAAACAAGTGACCCAATGGGCCTGCATCGCTCACCTGGTATTAAACTCGCACTTGTAACCTTAAAAGAGGTCTAAAATAAAGCTACTGGCAAAATATCAGTATTTATGACTCTAGGTCATTCAAAAGAACTTCATAAAAGATTTTCAAACATTTAGCCCCTGTGACCTTGAAAGTCGAACAAGGTCATTACGTTGAACAAACTTTGTAGCCCTCAATCTCAGCATGCAACTTACAGAATATCACCACCCTAGACCTTTTGTTTATTGATATAAGGTCATTTAAATGTTGATACATACATGTATATGACTGAATGTGACCTTGAATGTGGGTCAATGTCATTCAAATGGAAAAGCTTGATAGCCCTTCATCCAAGCACGCTTTCATTTAGAAGAAGTCGTTTAAAGATTTTTAATATATGACCCCTCTGACCTTGAATAAATGTCGAGGTATTTAATTTCAACAAACTTGGTATCCTTTCACCATAACATGCTTATGGCCAAATATCAACATTCTGAGCCTCATGGTTATTCGGGAGAATTTGTTTAAAGATTTTAAACATAATTGACCCTTGTGACCTTGAATAAAAGTCAAGGTCATTCTTTAAAACAAACTTGGTAGCCCGTCATCCGAGAATGCTACTGGCCAAATATCAACATTCTGGGCCTCGTGGTTATTCAGAAGAAGTTGTTTAAAGCTTTTTTAAGACATTTGACCCCCTGTGACCTTGAATATGAGTGGAGGTCAGTCATTCATCCAAGCACGCTTTCATTCAGAAGAAGTCGTTTAAAGATTTTTAATATATGACCCCTGTGACCTTGAATAAATGTCAAGGTATTTAATTTCAACAAACTTGGTAGCCCTTCATCCTAACATGCTACTGGCCAATTATCAGCATCCTTGGCCTCATGGTTATTCAGAAGAAGTCGTTTAAAGATTTTGAACATATTTGATCCCTATGACCTTGAATACATGTCAAGGTCATTCAGTTTAACAAACTTGGTAGCCCTTCATCCTAGCATGCTCCTCACCAAATATCAACATCCTGGTCCTTTTGGTTATTCAGAGGAAGTTTTTTAGGTCACCTGAGACAAAGTCTCAAGTGACCTATTGCAATCGCCTTTTGTCCGTCGTCGTCCGTCGTTCGTCGTCGTCGTCCGTCGTCCGTCGTCCGTCGTGCGTCCGTAAACAATTTACATTTTCGACTTCTTCTCCAAAACCCCTGAACCAATTTCAATGAAATTTTGCAGGGACCTTCCATGGACAAAGGTCAACAAAAATAGT